CTTCCCGCTCCTGCTACAACCTGCCCTCTCCCGCCTGCAGCCGGTGCTGGAGGTCATCTGCTCCCGCATGCGCTACATCTCCTCCCAAATCGAGCGGCCCATCCGCATCGTGGCCCTCAGCTCCTCCCTCTCCAACGCCAAGGACGTGGCTCACTGGCTGGGCTGCAGCGCCACCTCCACCTTCAACTTCCACCCCAACGTCCGCCCCGTGCCCCTGGAGCTGCACATTCAGGTAAGGTTGGGACCAGCCCATCCCCGTCGCCTTCTGCCCGCTCTCCAGACGGCGTCACGGCCTGCTCCTCTCGCCCTGCAGGGCTTCAACATCAGCCACACGCAGACTCGGCTGCTCTCCATGGCCAAGCCCGTCTACCACGCCATCATGAAGCACGCTCTCTGCCCTGATCCCTCAGGGGTGCAGGCGCCCAGCCCTCTCCTGGCTCCGGACCCCGCTCCCAGCACGCCCCGGAGGAGCAGCCTGAAGAAACCGGCCGTCGCCTCCGCGCTGAAGAGACAAGGTGAGCCTCGGCCGCGGCGCCCGGGTGTCGCGGTAGGGACCGACACCGACAAAAAAACATGTAAAAAAAGGCAGCCTCTATTAAGTTAAAAAAGCCGAGGTGGCAGAAGAAGCGTTCCCTTTGATCACCTCTCTTAGCTGTCCCCCGGTTCACGCCCTGAGGCTGCTGAAACGATCCGCTCAGGACCTCTGTCCCTTCGCCCCTGTTCACATCCTGACGGGCTGGAGCTCCTACTGTGTTTCCCACTTCATTCTCTTGCCAAATTCCTGCTCTGGGGTATTCACGTGTTCAGTCTCAGCCTTGCTCAGGCTCTTCTCACCTCCTCAGCCCTGTTTACAACACTCTTCACCTGCTTCTTTCATCCTCTCCCGGCTGTACTGGGATGCTGCCGAGGCCAACTTCATCTTCCTCAGTCAGGCTACCCCCGACAGGTGCCGTGGCCTGTGACTGAGGCGGGAGGGGACAAGTTTTGGGGCCATTTTGCCGGGCTGAGGGACG